ACCATGAAACTCGTCGAGTTTATCAAGCAGATGCGAATTCTGCTTTGTTTTAGCTTTGGACAAATCACTATTGCATTAAATATAACAGAAAAACATCCTAGGCTCTAATACCACTGATGAGTTTTGAGCATAACAACATTCCTATGTGATCATACAACCCTAATTGCTTTGGATCTAAGTTTTCCTCTAGTTATACATGCAAATAGAAATTCCAAAGCAACAACCCTAATACTAGCATATAAAATTGAAATCCATATGAAAATAGGGTTAGAAGATTACCTTGCTTGTTATCTAGTAATAACAAGTATTCCTTGTTGATCTTGACTTCTGAAAGCCTAGTGCCTCAAGTGTTGCACCTCTAATGGAGTCACAAACACCAATGGCAAGGATGAATGAGAAAAAAGATGGAGTAGGGAAGAAATTCGGCTAGGGTTTCTCCCAGAAAGCATAGGCCGAAAATGCTTAGCAAGGGGGTCCTTAAATAGCTGTGGCTGCTAGGGTTTTCAGGTGGAAACCCTAATTTCCTCCTTAGGCCCTAAGCAACCCATGGATACTCCTTCTAGAAGGCCTTGGACGAATTCTATAGGGCCTCCTATAGATTTCGTCCACTCCCTTTCTAAAGGAGTCCATCAGCCCAACATTGCAACTATCAATGATTTGCAATAACAATCCTCGTTCTTTTAATATATTAATAAATCCCAAAATTAATATCAAATTAATTTCTGATTAAATACTAATTAAATAATATAATTTCCAATTAATATATTATTTTTATAATATATTAATAAATCATTAATTACCCTCTTTCTCCAAAAGTCATCTTGTCAAGTTGCTATGGTGAAGGCAACCCAAAAGGACCATGCTACTACCAAATCACGTACATACCAATTATAGTTATGAGCTTAGACACCTAATGCAACAATAAGGTTATCCGCAACCCCTGGTTGGCTATCAGCAGCCCCAGTCACACATTATTATCATTTCATCACATAACATATCATAACAGCTAGACCGAGTTGTTCGTGATATTAACGCTAACCTACCACACACGTAAGAGTAAGTGAGGAGACTCACCTGACACTGATGACACGAAAACCTGGCACCCGAACTGCCGAATCTAGACTCCACCTAGATAACAAAATAATTATCCTTAATTAAAATTAAGGTCTAATAACCACTCACGATTCCAAAACCCACAACTAGACCTACTAAGGGAAAATGACCATTTTGCCCCTCCGTAGGTCCAAAACCCTAAACTTTGACCAAAAGTCAAAATCAGCAAAAGTCAACAGAAAGTCAACACCCAGCAAGTACGCTGGGCGTACTACCCCTAACGCTGGGCGTACAATCTGGATAAGCATGCGACGGGGTATCACTGGACTACGCTGCACGTAACTGGGAGTACGCACGGCGTACTCCACAAACTCCCATTTCCTTACTTTTGTGGTCTTAATCCGTTAAGACAACCATTCCATCCATAGATTTGATTAATTTAAGACCTTTTAATCCATAAAGTCGTGGGCTTTAAGCCTTTGCATGACTAAGAGAGGCTAAAACATCATTTCATCCATTCTGAAGTACTTTACTTATACATGAGGCCAAAGGAAAGATCAAGCAAACATTTTTGTCAACCTAGATGCCTTAAGATACATGAAAGGATAGCTTAAACTCTCTGGAGAGTCTCAAACTCAAAAGGTCCAAACTTGGGGACTTAAGCTCATAAATCTAAGGGCTGAAATTTGTCCTCATGTTCTCATTTTAAAATGTATCCACACTTGAACTATCCCATATATATATATATATATATATATATATATA